CTAGCGTATACCGCTACTGCCGCTGTTAGTGACTGCTGACTGTTACATCTGGTGAGCGGCCGCGATCGGACGAGGTTGGGAGTGGTGATCAGATTGGACAAAAGGGGGGGTTATTGCTGCGATTTTGAGGAGCCGTCAGGGGGATTGTGATCAGCAGTTCGGACTTGGATTTGACCAAGCTGATACATTGGCTGCCATTGCGGGGCCCTCAGGCGAGTCAAGGAAACAAGGCCCTCTCCAGTGAGCTTGAGAGCACCCCTCTGGTATCTGAGAGTCTCAAAACCATCTCTTTTTATCTTTCTTACTCCAAGTCTAGTCCTGATTCTGAGAGGAAGGCGGCAGGTGGGATTGCAACCCGTAGGACCGCACCAAGACTCTGTAGGGAGTCCACCCACCGATTGCGGGAGCTCTGCCGGAGCCTAGGCGAGGCTCTGGAGGCAGGGAATTGACAGGTAAATCTTTACTTTCCCTCTATACACCCGAGCTATAACCCCTATTTGTATTTCCTATTGCATCTCTAGCTGAATATATGGTGTGCAACCTTATCTTATTTTTGGTTTGACTTTAAGGACACTGAATCAGGCTAAATAAAGGAATGTTGTGAACTTTCAGTTTCCATTTTTGTTGACTGTGTGAACTCACACTGTTAAAAGGAACTGCATCTTGGGGAAAGGCAGGATGGGGGTTTGTTTTGCTTGATGGTTGACTGGGTCGTTAAGGCAGGGAGGTCCCCATAAGTTTGGGGAGACCCGGTGCTTTGCTTCTTTTGGTTTTGCTTGGAGAAGTCAGACCCTTCTATAAGTTTAGGGGGTCTGATCACTCTGGAGGCTGGGATGTCCCCATAAGTTTGGGGAGACTTAGTGTTGTGGCCTGCATGGAGGGTCAGGCTGTTCTATAAGTTTAGGTGGTCTGGCTGCTCTGACCTATGAGGGGTTTGATTGTGCCTGATTTTCAGGGACTCAGCGCGCTTAATAAGTTTTGGTGCCATGAGTTGCCTTGTTTCTCTTTGTTTTTTTTTAAGTTTTTTTTGGTTTTTGAATGGGGGGACAAAGCTGTTTCTGTAAGTTCAGGTGGCTCTGTCCCTTCATGATCTTTATTTTGAAGAAATAACCTTGGCAAAGGGATAGATCTTTTTGTAAGTTCAGGGGATCTGGCTCGATGCTACACACATGATGACTCAGATAAAAACGAATCTGACAGAGAGTTAGACCCTTCTGTAAGTTCAGGGGGTCTGGCTCAAAGCCTCGCACATGCTGGAACCCAATGGTTATAACTTGGCTATATCTTATTACTATCATATCTAAGAACGAGCTAATCAGACTGTTCTATAAGTTTAGGTGGTCTGACTATAGCCGTATCATAACTTGAAGAGAGTATAACTAAGAACAAAACTAGTGGTGAACTGGGGCAGACTGAAATTAAGTTAGTTCAGTCATACGCAGCCTTAGAAGACAAAGGTGAAAATAAGTATATACAACTTCGATACTTTAAACAGTCGAGGGCGACTAGAGTGGTCTAGCCATACGCCCAAAAAAGAGAAAAGTAGTTGTGCCCTCTGTTTGTGTATATTTGGCCAAGTCAGAATGCCCTATAAGTTTAGGTATTCTGACTCTAGGCCTGGCTAAGTTGGGTGCGTTCTGTGAGTTCAGGCGGCCTGATCTATGCCTTATGTAAGAAGGGTATAAAGGCTTAAATCATTGAGAGATCATCAACTATTGTTTGTTCAGGTTGACTTGGGGCTGGTGAGAGTACTTATCTTTGTGGTTTGGCTTGCATGTGACTGAGTGAGACCGCTACTTAGTCCGAGTTTCAGGTTAATAAGTAGTTGCTTTAGTTGCTCGCCATGTGCTAGAGCCATAGGAGTTAGTATCAATTCATGCATTTTTTGTAGTATCTTTTTTTTTACTTAGGTTAAGTCCTGCATTTTCTGAGATCTTTTCTTATATTTGACTTTGTATAAATCTTGGCAAGCTACTTTCTCTACGGGAAGCGCTGCCGAAATTTCTACAAATCCAAGGAGTTAGTTGAATTTTGACTTGTCAAAAGTTCAACTTTCTCTTTTCTCATATCTGACTTTGTTAAAATCTGGAAAGTCTCCTTTTCTAAAGGGAGTGCTGCCCAAATTTTTGCTAATTCAGGGATTTAGACAAAATTGAACTTTGAGAAGCCAAAGTTACTTTGAAATTCTGGACTTAGCCTTGTATAAATTTTGACATAGCACTTTCCTAGAGGGAGTGCTGCCGAAATTTTTACAAAATTGAGGAGTTATTTAAATTCTGTCTGAAGTTGAACTCGAGCTGTCTTTCAAGTTCATATCTGACTTAGTATAAATTCGAGAAGTCTCCTTTTCTAAAGGGAATGCTGCCCAAATATCTGCTATTTCAGGAAGTTAGACATAATTTTGACTTTCCGGAGTTAGAAATTATTCCTGCTTTCATATCTGGACCTATATAAATTCTGGAAAGTCACTTTTCCTTTGGGAAGCGTTGCTGAATTTTTTTTAGTTTAAAAGAGGTCGATTACGTTTTGACAGATGGAGGTTTTTATAAGTCCATTCTGACTAAGGAAAAATTTTACCATATTGCTTAGAGGTAGGTTTAGACATAGTTAACCAGGATGATTGGGTAAGGTTGTGATATGGAGATTGTCATCCATAAACTTATAGGTTCAGCCTGGGGCATTGACCTGTCATGTGTTACAGACCCTTTTTGACCGCTTGATTCAAGATCCGGACTAGATTAAGCTTGATCCCTTGAGGATTATCATCTGTTATCATTGATAACAGGTCGGTTGCCGATTCGTCTGTTTACGACTCAATTCCAACTCACCCTCCACACTCAACCTAAAAGGCTTTAGCCTTGGTAATTTCTTTGTTTTATTATGGTTTCACCCGGACTTTATTGAATTGCTATTTAACAAAGGTACTGAGTATTTAATTAAGGTTGGTTGGACAGGAGGTTGGGACTTGGATGGCTAAAGCGAGGGGTATGAGTGTTGAAGATGTTTGAGGTTGACTCCGTGTAGTGCGTGGGCTGTTGATTTGACTCGTTGATGTGATTGCAGGTATGTGTTGTGAATCAGATTCTGGATTTGGTTGTCTGCGATCACATATATACGTATGGTTGAGGGACCCCAATGAGACCGTGAGAAGTGATCGTCATATGCTTCCCCCTTTTTTTATATATATATACTTGAGTGTACTTGGGGTGAATGTCAGCATGAGCTAAGGGGCCCCGTACAAAGAGCATACTCAGAAGTTAAGACAGAGAGGCCCAGGGAAGACCCTTTCTTTTCTTTTGCTTTGCTTCTTGAGAGATTTTTATAGTCGGACGTTGGTCCTGGGCCGGGATTCAAGGTCCTTGTCCAGGACATCCAGCCCTAGACTTTGCAGGGAAGGAATTTGCCCCTGTGCAGAGCCTATTTGCCTTGCCTGCCGAGATGCTCAGACCAAAGGCCGGAGGTCTCGCGGCGACGGCACGAATATTCCTTCAGCCGTGCAATGTCGTGAGGGACTAGACCCCCATGACACTTCGAGTCTGACACTTGAGTGTCATAAGCGGTACTCAGATCCATGAGGGATCGCTTGATTATGGGCACTACATAGTACGTCATCATTGCGACTGCTTGCGTACGTTTGCATTGCGAGTCAATATGGGTTAGCCCTGCGTCCGCGTGGTTTTATATCTCGCACGAGACGCCTATCCGATTTCCGAATCGGAGAGTTATGGGATGGCTACCGAGGGGCTAGGAGCGTTGTCGCGTTGTTTGTGTTGTGTCGTTTCGTGTGTGTGTGTGTGTTTTATTTTTGTGTTCGTAAAGTGGTGTGCGCGTGGTGTGTGGGGTGCGTCCTAGTCGACCGGCGACGAGCCGCGCTTGGGACCTCAGCCCCCCAAGATGCCGGTTCGCGTGCGGGTCCAATAGAGGAGTACTTTCGCGCTTACCCCCTATGCTACAGCGAACGAGAAACGCCCTCGGCTGGTCCACCTCTGTGATTGCAACTGATTAACTTTCGTACTGTGGACTGGTAGCTCGACGGGGATACGCCCACCGAAGGGAGGTGACAACTCCCGTAAGGTGGAGGTAAGACGTGCCTCGCCCAGACTCTATCGTGTCATAAGGGCTCGCGAGAGGTATGGCTGACGCACTCTGCCGGAGGTGCTTGCGGAAGCTCCATATGTATATCTGCGACGAAGGATTTAAACCAACTCCTGCGTGACACGGCCGAGAGGGTCCCGTGCTGCCCTGGTGCGGTGTCGGACCGATGCACACGACAGGTGGCGCCGTTGCTGGGGATACCGGAAAGCCTACCATTGTCCCTGGTGGAACGACATCCGGGTATGAGAAGTGAATGGAAAAAGGCATAAAGGAATGACGAGAAGGTATAATGAGTGATTAAGTATAGGTAAGGAAGTTTACCTACGTGAGATAGGAAAAGTATGAGGGACGACCGTGTTAATGTTGGGAAAAAGTACGTAGTGAGAGTTAGGTAGAACGAGTGGAATAAACCGGTTAAGGTGTAATGCTGAATAAGGGGATGTGCTTGTTTTCTCTTGTCAGGGAGCTTGAAAAAAAGAGGCTGTCAAGATGCCTGAGACTGGCGGCGCATCGGATAGTCTCAGGAAGGGCCTGACGCTCGATGACCTCATAGCGGCCATTGACCGACATGAAAGGAGCCCGAGCAATATCCCTAAGGTCGATACCCTCCATTTTTGTGGGGAGAGAGTCTCGGAATGGCTGGAGCGGGTGGAACAAGCTTTGGTCAGGTGGTTGGACGTTGTAAAATTTCAACGCATTCTTCAGTATGTCCTTGACAACTACCACCAAGAAGTGAAGAAAGTCATAGTTGCGGCCCAAGGTAGCTGGGAAAGGTTCAAGGAAGGAATGCATAGGAAGTACCGCCTGGGAGACGGGTTGTTGACCACCACGGACCTTGAGGCAATGAACAAAGAGGACTTTACGACGATAAGGGCCTTTGTTCAAGAATTCTAGAAGAGGGCACGGAAGGTCCATGGGATTTCGGAGGAGGCGCAGTTTGCCATCTTCCTGGGGCTACTCATGGCATCGGAGGCCGTCGAGCTGACAAGACATGGAGGGGGTAGCACCAAGCTCACATGGGCCACCATTGACAAAGGGGTGAAAGTTGGATGTTTGGACCAGGTGGAGCAACGTCAGGTACGCCTGCAAAGACAGAAGAGAAAGGAAAGAGATGCGACCGCTTCTGGGACCCCGGGAGTAAAAAGGATTGTCACGGACGTACTGGCTCAGCTGGGAGATGCGACAGAGCCAGTGGTGCAGAGAAGGGTAGTGACAGCTGTTCAGGTGAAAGGAAAGGAGCCGGTGATAGAAGAGGCCGTTCAGGAGGAGCTCTGGGAAGAGGAAGAACTTGTGCCGCAGCACCTGACGAAGGCCCAGCGCAAACTGCGTAACTTGGCGCAGGGTGGGCAGGGGTCAGGAAAAGCGCAGGCGCCCCAGGCCTTGGCAGCGACTCCTCTAAATGTAGCGGGTCCATCGTCTAGTACGGGCCCCTCGCAAGGAGGGGCACCCTCCTACGGACAGTGGCCCTGGTCGGTGATCAATGCAATTGTGCCATGGGGTAGCCCGCCGCCAGTAGCCGGACCGCAAACGAGTATGCCGCCACCCATCTACCCCGCAGCCCAGGCCTAGCCTGTGGCCCGCCGCCGTCGCCCGCTCCCAGTTCACAGGGAAGCGTGGCTGGAGGTGGGAACGAGGGGCAGGACAATCAAGGCAACGAAGGCAGGGCTGGAGAAAGGGGACGAGGCAGGAATGGCGGCGGACGAGGAGGGCAATGGAATGGTCAAGGCCGGGGAAACCAAGGCCAGGGGAATGAAGACCAGGGGAATCAAGGCTAGGGGAATCAAGGTCAGGGATATCAAGGCTAGGGGTACCAAGGCGAGGGGTATCAAGGCCAGGGGGATCCGGGAAGTTAGGGGTATGGGAGACCCCGTTTTGACTGGAGATTAACCATCTGGCAGCATTGTGACCAGCAAGGCCACACTATAAGGTTCTGTAACATAAGGCGGGAGGACGACAAAAACGGGCTGATTTCCTCCACTATGGACGGGAACATTTATGATCAGTTTGGGGAGTTCATCGACAGAAGGCTCGGGGGAGTGAGGGCGGAAGCCCAACGAAGGGCGGCAGTCGGGCTGCTACACCCTGCCACATTCAGGTTGTGGAGGGAGAAGAAATGACCGTCGGTGGGGATAAAGGAATTCAGGCTATGGCAGGAAAATGAAGAACCACTGATTGGGATAGAGGAAGTGGGAAGCGGTGAGGAAGTGGCTAAGGGGACACGAGGAGGAAGTAAGAGGGAGGAGGCCCATAATCATTGAATCGGACGACGAGGACGAGGAAAGAGGGATGGAACCTCCGTCCGTTTTATTGGGGAAAATTGAGGACTCGTTGGACAAGGTGGGAAGGTACTAACAGAAGTTGGTAAACCTCTGTGAGAAAGTGAGGGAATGGAGGTCTGGCATCCCCAAGGTGTTCCTGTACGACTCCGGCCCGGAGTCAGCGCCTGGGCGACCCGGAGTAAATGTGGTGGGGTCAAGCCCACAGTCGGGGGTGATAGGGAGACCCCTCACCCCGCAGGCCTGGCTGGCACAGGCAGCGCGAACGAGAAGTCAGGCCAAGGCCAATGCCAGCCAAGAGCCTCCCCGGAGGGAGCCCGAACCGGAAAAAAGGAAAGAGGCCGTGGAAGTGGAGGATGACGATGATGAAGAGGAAGAAGACGAGAGGCTACGCCGGGAAGAGGATCAGAGAGCGGAGCAGCGGGCAAGGAAAAAGGGAACCAGGGAAGAGGCCGAGCTGGTCATACGTGACGGACTGCCCAAGAAGAAAAAGTACGCGGTTCGGTTGAAAGAGGGGTTTGATGTAGAGCGGATGATCGACAGGCTGCTAGAAGGGCATAACGATCTTATGATCTTGAAGGAAATTCTGGCATCAGCCCCGCGGCTCCGCGATGAATTAAAAGGGAGGTTGTCACGGCGCTTGGTGCCCAACGTCCATCTGGGTACGATCCTGCCCAAGAAGGCAGAGTGGCCGGAGTCGGGCACGAAGATGGATTGGAAGTGCGTGACCAGCGGCACGGTGGATTTGGTGGTGAAGGGTTCCAAGTGCGCACCAATGGTGGACACCGGGGCGGAGATGAACATTATTCGAGAAGCAGATGCTATCAGGTTTGGGCTGGACATATACCGATCTGATTGCGGAATTTTGCACAGGGCCAGCTGCAAGGCCATATTTTGTGGGACAACCTCGAATGTACTCATCGAGGTTGGAAAGGTGAAGACCCAGGCCTATTTCTTCATCATGCCGGACGTGGATCACCGAATCCTCCTGGGGAGGTCATTCCTGAGCAGGATGAAGACCGCGATGTTCAATAAGCATGAGGGGACGTTAATTCTCCTCCTATGTGACCCTGCCTGTGGGAATTACAAGATAATTACCTGTAGAAACACAGGGCCAAGGAGTATAAGGAACCGGCCCAATCCAGGATCGTTCACAATCGAAGAATCGGAAGGGGAGCGCCGGAGGCTCCGGGCAGAGCCAGAAGCAGGAGAGAGGGTGAAAGCATTTTCCCTCAGCCTGCCAGATGTCGGAAAGGCCATGGACTTGGTGGCCGCGCATGAAATGACAGATCCGGATGCTATCCAGGCCTTGAGGGAGCAAATTCTAGAATGCCCCGAGGCAGGAAGGCTGAAGCTGGTATATTGGCTTCTGGACGGCGGGAGAAACCCCGCATCAACGGAGACGCAATCTATGAGTCGGTCTTTTTTAGGGGACGGCTCAAGCAGGGTTCCCAAAGGTGGTACAAGACGATAGACAAGAAGTGCCGCCTGGTTCCCGTCCTCGTTACAGAAGACGAAGAAGCATACTACGAGAGAGAACGAGGGTTGATACGGCGAATGAGGGAGAGTGCTCTAGCAGGGCAATGTCGTGTCAACGAAGAGAATGAGGGGAAGTTGATTATAGGGGAACCCAACTTCCTGCTGCCTTAGGAATGAACGTTGATGGTGGAGCTGATGAAGAGGAAGCATCGCGCCTATGCACTTAGTGACTAGGAGCGTGACAGGCTGGATGTGGACAAGATACCTATGATCCGCATCCATACTGTGCACACAAACCTTGGAACATGAGAGAGGCACGATATCCTAATCCTGACGAGGAAAAGAAGGTGGTAGATTACCTCGACGGCAAAATACGCACACACATCGCTAACTATTCAAGTGGACCGTATGCGTCCCCGTGGTTTTGTTTCATCAAGCCTGACGGGACGCTCCGGTGGGTGCAAGATTTGCAGAGACTAAATGCGGTGACCGTGCGGGATGCTGGAGGACTGCCAAATGTGGACGCTTTGTCAGAATCCTGTGCTGGAAGGCCTATAATCTCACCTATAGACCTTTACTCAGGATATGATCAGTTTCCGGTCTATCCGCCGGACAGGCCAGTGACGGCTATGCACACGCCGCGAGGACTAATCCACATGAACGTGGCGCCACAAGGGTGGACCAACGAGGTAGCAATGGTCCAACGGGCCATGATTCGGGTTATGAAGTCAGTCAGTCCTCATATCATACAGCCATACATCGACGATTTGGTGGTAAAGGGGCCGGCAGTGAAAGAGAGTGACGAAGTCTTGCCAAGGGTAAGGTGCTTTGTTTGGGAGCACATCCAAGACCTCGAAAAAGTCCTGAGCCTGTTCGAGGAGCATAACCTCACGGCGAGCGGGCCTAAGTCCAGACATTGCATAAGGGAAGCTACCATTTTGGGGTTCGTCTGCAGTGAGAAGAGCCGAAGGCCGGATGTGAAAAAGACGGACAAGATTATTGAGTGGCCAGTTCCGTTCCGTTCGATAACTGATGTAAGGAGCTTTCTTGGTACGTGTGGGTTTTGGAGGGCCTTCGTCAAGAACTTCGCCGCTAAGACTGAGCACCTGAGGAAGTTAGTTCGTCAGGATCAGGAATGGGTTTGGGGTAAAGAGCAAGAAGAGGTGGTGGCCAGAATGAAGGAGGAATTTCGAGAAGGAGGGTTGGTGATAGGGGCGCCAGATTATGATGCCATGGAGACGCGACCCTTCATTGTCAAAACGGATGCGGGGCCGACTGCCTTTGGGGGAATTCTAATTCAGGCAGACATGGAAGGAAAGGAAAGACCCTTGAGATTTGAGAGACGGACTCTCTGTACGACCGATAAAAACTACTCTCAGTTCAAAAGAGAGACCCTTGCTGTTCTTTACTGTCTACGAATCTTCCGGAACTACATCTTCGGCAGAAGGTTTATTTTGAGAGTGGACCCGACCACCCTGGCCTACTCTTTAAGGAATTACGTTCCATCGGATCCGACGGTTGCCAGATGACTGACGTACATCTGGATGTTTAACTTCCAGTTGGAGCGGATTCCTGGCAGTAAGAACTGGGCAGACGGGCTGAGTCGGATCAACTGGGATAAATAGGAAGGGGAGGCGGTGGAGAATACGCCCCCAGTTGATGGATTTCTGGATCAGGAGGAAGCTGTTCGTCTCCATATCAACAAGTGGTCGCCGCGAGTGCCCAGCTGTGTAGGCTACCCTATCTGGCAAGCGTCGAGTGGGTACGAACAGAGGGCTGAGCTAGTCCTCAAACCCTTTGAAGAAGAGGATCCCTGGGGTGGTAAGGGTGTTCAGTGGATAATGGAGTTGGCGCTGGCTAGGTCGCATAGTCTGGTGGAGGACCTGAGGACGATCGAGGAAGGACCAGGCCAGGTAGAACGGCATGAGGACATGATGGGAGGAATGTATCTCCTCACCAACACATTATTGCAGGAAAGCCTCGACCAGTCAGGCTTGTTGAACCCGGCAGGGAATGTGGACGAAGTGCCCGAGAGTCAGGACGACGAGTTCGAGGAGGGGGAGATAAAAGAGGTCTTTCGTGCAGAGGAGTCTGATGGGATCTACCTAGAGCTGGGGCTTCTTTTGTCTTGCAAGATGCGGCTAAGGGATGCGAGCGATAGGGCTCAGAGGATGCTGCAGCGCTACTTAGTGCGTGACGGCCACCTTTTCGTGAGAAGAGAAGTAGGGAATCCCAGGAGAGTCGTCTGCGGTAGGAAACGTCAGATTGACGTCATAGCAGCGCTTCATGGCGGCATTGCAGGAGGGCATCGAGGGGTACAAGCCACGTATGCCAAAATAAGTGAGTTGTACTACTGGGATGGTATGATGGACATGATCGAGAAGTTCTGCCGATCTTGCGTACCCTGCCATGAGAGATCCCGTTTAAGGCAAGGAGAACCGCTGCATCCAAGGCTAGAGTGAGAGGTGGGGGCTGTAGTGCATCTTGATCTACTTTTCATGCCGCTTGGGGATCAGGGCTATAACTACATCTTCGATGCGTGCAATAACCTGTCTGGCTTCGTAGATGGGCGTGTCATTCGTACCAAGACTGATTCAGTCTTGGTTAGTTGCATCGAGGAATACTATCTGCGTTATCCTTTCGTCAGGGAGTTTGTAATGCACAGGGGATCCGAGTTTACCTGTCAGGATGTGCAAGAACTGCTATCAAGGTATGGTGTCGTAGCTAACTACACCACGGCCGCGCACCCCCAGGCGAATGCTCCAGTAGAGAGAGGGCATACTACCATTACGAATCTCCTGGCCAAGTGGACCGAAGACAAGCCTAATCAATGAACAAGGTACTTAAGGGCGACATTCTTTGTCGAGAACATTACAGTGAAAAGATCCACCAAGTACGCACCTGCGACGTTGTGGTATGGAAGGCATGCCACCTTCCCTATCGAGAGCTTCCTTAAGACATGGAGGCGCTAAGACCTGGAAGTTAGCCTGTCATTTGAAGAATTGCTCGATATTTGGGCGCGGTAGATAGAGGCGATAGAGGAAAGGATCCAGGAGGCATCCGATCAGGTGGCGAGAAGCCGTATGGATGATAAGGCTCGATGGGATCAGTCTGCACAGGTAAGGAAAGTACCTTTGGCAGTTGGGGACGTCGTGCTTCTCTACGATTCATCTTTGGAGAAGCAATCGTCCAGGAAACTCGATAAGAGGTGGTTAGGTCCCTACCGGATTGTACGGGTGGGAGACTTCGGAGCGTACCAGATTGAGGAGCTGAATGAGACTGAGTGGAAGGATTGGGTATCTGGAAAGCGGTTGAAAAAAATTGTGGCGAGAGAAGAGGTAAGAGAGATGATCTGACTGCTTTTAGAATAAAAGCGATAGGTTGTGTAGGTCAGATAGGCTGCATGCTACATAAGTGTGGTCTGGTATGAGCTCACCTTATCACCTGTTTGCTTACCCCAATGTGTGTCTGTTGCTTCCTTCGCCTGTTGTGCAGGTCTGACTTTACGAAGACAGCCATGTCAAGAGGAGGGAAGGGGACACGGCCGCCTAGGAGGCCGTTGGGGGCATCAGGAGGATACGAGCGACATGGACCTCGCCATCGAGAGAGCACTCCGGAGTATGATGGTGACGACATCGAGTTATTCCTGGACAGTTTCTGGGAGCATGCGCGGCGTATGGGTTGGACCGTGACCCAGGGGATTGAGAGGTTGAGGGGAGTCGGCAGATTCGAGGAGCCTGTCGCGCGGATCCGTAGGGAGGCGATGACGAGGTCAGAGGTGGAGTTGAGGATGTAGGAGCTACAACCCTCACCTGTGGGACGTGATGGCAGGCCGATCCGCCTGGAGATCGGGAATGCGTCGGACTTCATCCCCGCTCTTGAGTGGTTCATGCAGAGGCAAGGTATACTGAGAGACGATTGGATGCAGACTCTACCACTCTGGACCAGGAAGGCGGAGAGACCACTAGCCAGGCAGGTCAGAGACATGACCCGAGACTGAGAGAGCTGCAGGGCACATCTGAGAGAGGCCTTTCGACGACCAGAGCCCCCTCAGCCCAGAGTTGAGAGGCGTCAGAGGAGGCAGAGGCAGAGGGACCCTGAGCCCAGGGAGGCGAGACCATTCCGAGGAGGACGAAAGACCCTAGTTAGGAAAGAGGAGGAACCGGAGCCAGAGCCAGAGGCTGAGGAGCGAGGGGCGTACCCTGAGTGTGGGTTGAGACCAATGGAGTTCCATCGGTTTACCGAGGGGGGATTGAGGAGGTCGCCAGCACGCACACGAGAGGAGCCCCCAGCGATTGAGGAACCCTTGAGGGAGTTAGAGGCACATTTGGATGTCTCTCGGTGGAGAGCATCGCCTCGGGGTGAGGAGCATGGAGAGCAGGCAGAGGAGGTGCCACGAGAGGAGGTGCCCCGAGAGGAGGTGCCACGAAAGGAGATGCCGCGAGAGGAGGTTCGAGATACCCAGCGAGAGAGAGGGCTGGGCGATGAGGGGAGACATGCAGGGAAGGAAGTGATAGAGGTTGAAGAGGACACGCCCCCTTAGACGCCAGCGGTGGGTTTGAGACTCGGGGATGCACTTGGGAGCACTCGCCAGGCAGGAGAGGGGTTGCAGAGAGAGGAGGTCCCATTGCCTCCATCAGAAAAGGCCCCTTCGCCAGAGAGGAGAGCAGAAAGGAGGAGAGAGAAGGCAATTGTAAGGAGAGAAGCCTTGACCCTGATTGGCAGGCACCTAGCAGCTCATGCCCTAGAGCACCCAGACCTGGAGGAGCCAGCACCTACAGAGCCGCGCTAGGAGCCGTGCCAGCCCGAGAAGGAGGTGGAGGCAAAGATCCCGAAGAGGGTCGAACTCCGCATGAGGAAAAGGGCGTTAGCTGGAGAGACAGCTGAGGAAAAGAGGGCGAGAAGAACCAGGAGGATAGAAGAAATATGGCAAGAGAGACAGAGGTTGGAGGCGGCGGGGGCACTTCCGGAGTAGCAGCAGGAAAGGCAGAGATTGGAGGCAGCAGGGGCACTCCCGGGTCAGTCACCCAGCAAGCTAGCTAAGGCCCCGGATATCCCAGAGATGTGGAGGGACTTCTATGAGCAGAGAGGAGAGGAGTTTCCTTCGCCAACCAGAGCCGGGTTTGGGGTAGCCAGAAAGACAGAAGAAAGGTTGGATCGGAAAATCAAGTTCCTAGGGCTTTGGTGGCCAGCCAGGTAGCTATTATCGAGAGCCTGAGGCAGCAATCTCAGGGAAAGGTGGACAATCCAGAGAGCAGCCGGTAGGGGGAGCAGAGGCAGCCAGGACATGGTTTGTCAGGACAACCATCTGTAGCAGAGCCCCGCCAGGAGCCACCTATGGGGAGGGTTATCCTGGAGCCGGAGGAGGCGAGAGCCCAAAGGGAGGCAGAGAGAGAAGCTTTCGAGTTCAGAACCCCTACTGAGCTCGCGACGCTACCTATAGCAGTGGCGGACCCAGTAATACCATTGGCAGGTGAGGAGGGGCTACCACCATCCAGCAGTGAGCCACCTCAGGGCTCGGCAGAGGAATCTATGGATGTGCTCCTTGAGGTAGTACACTCGATGCAGGAGGAGTATGGGCCAGAGGGGATTGAGGATCGACTAGGGTCGAGCACCTAGGAGGTGGAGACAGGAGAGGAGCCTTTGGATATGCCTCAAAGCCATGAGCTGAGCAGAGTGGCCAGCGAAGCACCGTCCTCGCCAGGATCCCAAAGTGGGAAAAAAGATCCAGGAAGTGGTTTGATACGTCCTGCTTCTTCTGTACAAAGGAAGGGCATCGGGTCTTGCAATATCCTAAGTTCTTAAAGGACAAGGCCGAAGGGAAGGTTACAGAGGAGGGAGGCAGGATGTATGATAGACAAGGCAGGAGAGTGGACAGATCAGCAGATGGGGGTAGGGCTCAACCATATAGGCAAAACCAGGAGGAGATGAGCGATCAAGACTGAGTTACGTATATGGTTGACACGTTGCGTACAGGACTAGAGTTAGGATTGTAATAAATCCTGTAGACCTAGGTGCTGTTTGCATTTGTCGAGCAGTTTGGGTTTGACTTTTGTTGAGTCTGACATCTTGAGGGTCAGGACAGGGTAGATGAGGCGTGTACATACTTAGGTGGCCTACACCCTAATCTTTGAGAGACAAACCCAACTTGTACTTTGAGGACGGCATCAGTGTGAGTGTGGATTTGAGTGAGTTGAGTGAGTCACAGTGTGGAGACATTTTTGTCCAGGATATCTTATCCTGAGTGTATGTTGGAGACATTTTGTGTGGGATATTTTATCCCTGAGTGTATATTATATCGAGATTTTTCTGGGACTGCTTGTTGTGTATGACGATCACTCTCACACTCATTCGTATGGTTCTAGCTTGATGGATGATGATTTGGTCTGAAACATGCGCGAGAAAATATCTCATGTGCTTAGTACCTTGTGAATCTGGATGAATGTAAACTGTCTACTCGTCGGTATACTCGTGCGATCTGCCCATGGGCAGATGAGAGGGCTGAGTATAAGGCAAGGAAGCGCAATCTGTTTTGTGAGAGGATGTGAGGATCCTGAATATTCGTATGGTGAGTTCTCTATTGTTGAGATGTGCAGAAGACCCATAAGTTGGTCTTTTTATATGGATTATATGATGAGTGGGGCACCTGTGAATGAAAAGGTTGTCCATTATCTAGTTGGGAGACGCATCTTCAGAGAGGGAAGATGTGTTAAAGAAAAGGGTCGTGAGAAAGTTCATCCTAGAGAGAGAGGGATGACTGAGAGACCTATTGAAGTGAGACCTCCTCTTTAAATGAGGTGGTTAATAAGATTGATAAATGGAAGGTTGACTTTGAGTAATAAAAGACTGACGAGAGGAGCCAAAAATTTTGTGTGACTATTGATGAAATTTTTGAATGTCGCAATGGTGCATTTTAAAAGATGTCATCAATATGTGTGACTTTCTTGCTCTGATCAAGTTGGGAGGCCACGGTCTTGTGAATCAGGCGGTGATTTTGTTTTGTGATTGTGGAGAGGTTGTTGGGCTTCCTCTGTGTTGTCCCACAGAGGGACTGGTAAATACCTTTATGTGCGACAGGTCTATGCGTAGTCCCGCAGTAGGCTTGTATTGTTGCGACTCACCGACCAGCCACTTGTGCAAATCTTGGGAGTTTATAAGAGACCTAACTAGGGGTATAACTAGCATTACTAAGGCGCAACCCTTAGTGTTGGCCGCTGTTTGACACAACCTGAGCAGAGGGTCTGCGTCTGGCCAACGGAGTAAAGACTTAAAGATGTGTAAACGCCTAGGAGGGCTTTACCCCTGCGGAGAGGCGTGGGATAAGAGTCGAGTCACATGAGTCTTTTTGAGGAAGTCCTGATTAAATGCTTATCAGGAATAGCCTATCGTGGCGTGACCCGCGAAGGCATTGCCGCTGAAATAACAATGCGGCGGGCCGTAGATCTGGAATGATCACCCAGACTATGGTGGGCCAAGATGGAGACCTAGTCTTTCTGTACTAGACTGCAGGAAGGCAAATATGGAGATCTATGTGGTATGTTTACGTGTGCTTAATGTGAAGATTGTTGAGAGGAAGGCAAGAGAACGCATTCAAAGGTTTCGGTTAGGGCCCGCGCCCCTAGTCACGACTTTGGTTTCAGGGGAAGGGTTGGGGACACACAACGAGAAGCCGGCGGTTGTCTAGGGCACAGGGGAGAGGACGGTGAGAGATCCACTGTAACTTATGTTGTAGTACAGTGAGGAGTATCCCGACGTCCGAATGTCAGGGCGACGGAGACCCACGTTAGAATTCTTGCAGCATAAAGTGTGTTTAGCATGGATTATTGGAGGCCTCAACCCTGGGTCTGTCAGCCAATCGGATTGGTACCCTGCTCGTCAACACTTTTGGGATATAGCTTTTGATTCTGCGAAGCGACGGGGACGTCGCTAAATATGGTCCGGTAAGTTGTCGGTGCGAATACCCTTACAAGGGTATCCGCGCCGGTTTTTGCAAGTGATAGGAAATAACCTAAGTCTAATGGTTTGAGTATGCGGCGCGAGACGCAGCGATGTCTGAGAGCTACGTCGACCGAATGATTGGCCAGGTTAGAGAGTGTGTGGGCGCGCAGGTTTGAGACGCGCGTGATTTTGTTCCTTTTTTATTACGATGGAAGACGCGGCGTGGATTCTGGTCGACGTACCGCATTGTATCAGTTGTTTGTTTTAAACTGACTAACCATGGGTGCGTTGTTTTCTGGTTCCGCGGGGTCCGGTGGACGGTTCAGTGAGCCGGGGCGGACGTACGCAGAATCCAGATAATGGGACCTGATGGATTCGGCTAGGGAAGGGTAGCTGCGGCACGACAGGTAGGCCGGCGTGCAAGTGCGGGCCGAGAAGTGGCGTGGGGCGGTTCCTTGGCCCTAAAGGCCGCGGGCTACCTCTTTATTAGGTGACTGAGGCCTACTGGTACCAGGTTTGGCTTATCCCTATAGGTTATAGCATCGGAGTGGTACGCAGCGGGCAAAGGGATCGAGGCCAACTGCAGGCAGTAAGGGAGTGGAGGAGCGCGACGAAAAAGCTTGAGGGGTTTGATGGGCCGGTAGGGCTATCCCCCTCGCCTTTTGCTACTATGGGGGCCACGGGTTCCGTTGCGGCTCTTATATATCCTTATGCATATAATTTTATTTATTTTAAAAAGTTTCGGTCATCGTTATTTTTCACGCCCGTATCCGGGCGCGAAACCACGCAGGGTGCTGCTTGAACACAGGCCCGTGTTCCGGCCTAGATGACAGGGCTGGACGAGTAGGACCCAATAGCTGGCTTGCCTGGGGGTGGTTGACCCCATATTTTAGGCATCTGTCCTTCTGGACATCCGTTAAAATTGGAACGATACAGACAAGACTAGCATGGTCCTTGCGCAAGGATGATACGTATGGATCAGGAAAGAAGGAGGGCCGGGGCGCGGACTGTTAAAGCTGGCCCGGCACTTCCGAACCCGGCCTCGGGGGAGGGCCAAATCCCCGCGGAGCTCTGATGGGGCAGGGTGGCACTGAGGCCGCTCGAGCGTTGAAAGACCGCGGTCTTTATTGCCAGGCTAGGTCCGTCGGGACATCTGACAAAAATCGGAATGATATAGGAAGGATTTGCCTGGCCCTACGGAGAGAGGACCTAAGTGGATCTGTGAGGAAACTTGGGCGCAGTGCAGCCGGCGTACGAATCAGTCGTCGACTTGGGGTATGCGGGGCGAAAAGTTAGCTGACTCGTTAGTAGTTAGCTCCCTCCGAGTTCTTTAGAGTGAGGGGAGGACGCAGGCAGCGATTGCGGAGCAAAGGGGGGTATAGTCGCGGGGCATTACCTCGGCTGTGTCCTTCGGGACATCCGTTAAAATTGGAGCGATACAGAGAAGATTTGCATGGCCCCGGCGGAAGGATGATCCGCATA